GTCTCCTAGCGGCTCGAAAAGTACGTTCGATTTCGGGATCAAACGGTTCTCTAGCTAGATCGAGTCTCCTGCGCATACACAGTACCTAAAAGAAAAAAAAATTAAATGGGTGAATCGTGAAAATTGTTCAAATCTAAAGCTAGAATAAAATAAATAATTAAAATAATCCCCGGCAACGGCGCCAAAAACTTGTTGGTTGTAATACCTACACGCAAGTGCACGTATCGTACAAGTAATATAGTGGATTATTAAGTCCGGATATCGAATCCACAGAGAATATTTAATTATTTAATCCTAGACGCTAAATTCTAGCAATTATTATCAAGCCCACCCTACACAGTCGACTTTAGAGAGAATCAACTAAATTAAACTAAATTAAAAGGCAAGCAAAAACAAGAAAGCAATTTAAAACGAAGATTTAATCAAGGTAAACAAGCCTAGGATTTTATTCTTCCCCCAATGTGATTATTACTCCCCCAATTCCTTCAATTATGCAAACAATTAACCCGGATTATTAACCTGAGATGCTAGAATAATCATAACCCGCTTCCGCGTGTATTACGATTCTAATACTCTAGATTCAATTACTATATTCCTATGCAATTAACTCTAGAACACAGCATTAAGCACAAATCTCAATAATTGCTACCTAAGAGATTAACTATATTCCTATGTTAATACCACAAAGGCTCTTCTACCACAGTTCTAATTATTAACTTGATCTTCCGATTCATGCGATTAACAATAACATAAAAGCACATAAGGTGATCAAATTCATGCACTTAATAAAACAAGTAGGAGAAATACTCCGAAATTAAAACTTGCATAAAATCATAGAATTGGGTTCATAAATCCCACATAGGGTTCCAAATAAAATCCTAGAAATAAGAAAATTAGCTACTCATGATTAAAGGGAAAACGCAAATAAAATTAATCATGAATGATAAGTCTATGCTTGGAGTCTTCGAATTCTTCGTCTTCGTTAATGCTTTGTTGTTTTTGACATTGCGTCCAAGATCCCCAATTGTGTGTTTGGCTTGGTCTTATATAGGGTGAAAAACTTGGGGAAAGAAGGCAGTTTCCTTGTGCAATTAAAATCCCTTTACTGCGCTGCCACGAGGTCTCGGACGGCCGTTCCACAATTTGAACTAAAACTCGGACGGCCGTCCGAGCTTTAAATCTTCATATTTTTGTTTTTTCACTTTTGGCCCATATTTTCTCCAAAATTGCAGTGTTTACCCCATACTTGTCCAATTCTTCAATTTGTACCTAAACTACAATAAATAAACTTTTTAAGCACCAATTATCGTTAAAACACACCAAAAGCTCAAATAAAAAGGTACGATAAAGTGTAAAAATATACACTTAACATGCACGTATCGCAAACAAGTAGTAAAAGTGGACTCGTAAGAGTCGGATGTCGATCCCACAGGGAATGCTCAAATTATCTAATCCTAAGTACCAAATTCTAACAACTATGATTTTTATCCAGCCTAAGCAACGTTGTCAATTTTAATATACTAAATCATTAAACTAATTATGAAAGCAAATAAACACGAAAAAATATCAATAAAAACAGATCTAAGATTTTATCTTCCCCTATGCGATAATCGCTCACGCAAAACCCCTCAATTATGAAATATATGATTCCGTATTATTAACCTGAGACAGTATATTAATTATAACCCATTGTCGCGTGTATTATAATTCAATTATCCAAAACCAAATTACTATATGTCTATGCAATCTGATCATGAATAAAGCATTATATAAGTCTCAACAATGATTAGGTGAATATCTGTATATCTACGATACCACATGCAATTAACATACTAATCCGATGAAAACGACTCGATGGTTCTTTTACTTAATGTCTAATTATCAAAATAGATCTGTCGAGTCAATCCCAATAATCACATATAAAACACATAAATTGATCAGGTTCATGCACTAACAATCATATAAAATCATAATTGCATAATCTCAAGAAGACGGGTTCACCATCCCCACATAGGGTTCCAAAAAAATACTAGATTAAAAACTTAGCTACTCATGTTCGCTACGAAAAACATAATAAAAGTAATAAAAGTCATAGATTTAGAAAAGATCGATGAAAGAAGAATGATGAAGATTCGTGAGGTCTTAGTCTTTGTTTCTCCGTTCTCTCGCTCCTCTTGCTCTAAGATTCTGTTACAAAGTCCATCAATTCGTGCTTGGTCTTTGCCCTTACATAGATGTCTCAACTTGGTAGAAGATTTAGGGGTTTCCTTTTGTGATTAAAAGTCCGAAATTGTCTCCAGCGTGTTCTCGCACGGCCGCGCGAGAATCAATACAATTATCACACGGCCGTCTCAAATCCAGAAATTTTCTGCCCAATTTCTGTAGTTGGCAGGGCCGTGCCAAAAATAAGCTAAATCTCACACGGCCGTGCCAGGCCAATTTTTAGCTTCCAATTGTTTTCTTCCGTTTTTGCTCGTTTTTTACCTTTTTTCGCTCATTTCATCCTTAAAACTCCCGAATCTTCAAATTGTACCTAAAATACTACAAACCAAGAATTAAGCACCATAAAATCAATACAATTAAACAAGAATCCTCGTAAAAAGGTATATATTGAGTGTAAAATATACACTCAATAGCAGGGTACTCTAATTACTCAATATGTGGTCAAGGGCAAAAATATAATTTCAAAAACATCAATGGTCACTGTAATTACTCATTTACCTTTTCTTTGTAAGAAAACTATTGGTGAAATTGAAGATAGATAAATATTATGACTCCAAGCAAAATCTACCAATAAGCAAATAACTCAACTACTACATCTCATTACATAGATCAATGATCAACTTCACGTTTTCAGAACTTGTAATTATAATGACAATTCTTAGGCATTCACAAGCTCAAAATTCAACAACACTTAGTCACTCACCATTACAAAAAACCACACTTCATACAATTGCTTCAATCATCCAATATTTGCAAATTAAAGATAGAAAGAATTTATACTTACATGCATATATTTGACTCCAAATACTCACCAAATTATTCTACTCTACTAATATCGAACATTAAGCTATTGGGGTCATTGGGGTTTTGTGGCTTCCAATTGTTAGGCTCTTTGGTTCGAGGTAGGAAATATGGGTATATGTGGCTATTATTCTTGCATTGAGGTGATTACGCCAAAATTTGAAAGATAGGCGTTTGAAACAATGAATTCACCTCTAAGGCATTTAATAAACTCGATTCTCAAAAGTTCAAAAGTCTCCACTTTTGCTTTTGAGGCAATGGATCGAGCTTTCAAAACAATTCAACTAGTCCTTACTTCTCCCTTCTAGTTTCTTCTTCTCTTTTTTTTTTCGAAGAAGAAGAAGGACCTTGTAAAATTTTTGGATCGAACTCCAAGGGGTAATTTTTCAAGAATCTCCACCTATTCTACCTTACACATTGGCTAAGAGAAAGAACACCTTTTTTCCGAGGCATAACTTTGAATGAGGAAGAGTTCTTCAAATTTCGACAATTTTCAAGAGTTTAATGTCCAGGAGAAAAGAAATACGAGAAGTGTTTAATTAAAGATTAATGTATCTTAGATTTGGTAATTGTGGATTTAATAAAACTAAATTAGGGGGAACATTGTCTTTTATAATTTGGTGCACATATTTTATTTCTTTGAGATCAAATTTGGCGTTGAAAGTGGTCACAAATTATTTTATTAAAAAAAAATTAAATAATCTAACGAAACTCAATTATTTTATTGGAGTTTGAAACCTCAAATAAAAAAAACTCATTAGAAGGCAAGATAAGCCAAGATAAGGCAAGATAAGCCATGATTATATAATTTTCGCGGGTCGACCGGACAATTTATTAAGGATACCAAACGTCAAATTAAATCCAACTATTTAGTTAATTATGGCTACTCTTGTCAACCAAACATGGCCCAATTGTATAGCATTATTTTATTGAGAAATTTTATACATTGTTGTTTTTGGCACATGGGTACTCTATCCTTCTTTATATTAAATTTGTTAAGTTTTTCTTATCATTTTCTCCCAAGATGTTTGACTAACTATTAAAAATAGTAAAAGTAATATCTCTATATAATAAAAATACAATCAATATGTACATTTTAATATTTTAAACTTAAACCACTCATTCAAAATACATCTAAATTAAAATTTTAACATTAAATAGCCTAGCTATAGGACGCATGCTAGTGTTGACTTTATTACCTTTGCTAATATAAATTGCTTTTGATTTATGTGATTTTGAACAAACTTGTTGGTTTTGATTGGAACAACAGTAGAATTTATTTGAATCATTTATTTTAACTTTGCATTAATTAAAATAAATAAATAAAAATCCAAACACAAATGTTATACAACAATCGTGTTGAAAATCGCATTAAATGTGCTAAAAATAGCAGAAATCATAATACATTTTGCTGAAAATCACACAAAATCTCCCCACAATGTTATAAAACTCGCTCAATGTTATCCCAAAATGAGTTGAAAAGCGCACAAATCATCCTCAAAATAAAATATTGTAGATACCGTATAGTATTGTGGTATTATATATCATGATATCATGCGATATTTACGAAGATCAATAAATACGCCGAGTAATCATTTCTATAGAAATCGTAATGTATCGCGATATTGATTAGACTGTATAATACTGTACTTTGTTCTTATATTATAGAGAATGCCATACCATTACCTTAACCACTATTTACGATATTGTACCAATGCCGTTTAAGGTAGTATTATTTTGATAATTTTGGTTTGTTATACCAAAATCCAGTTGATATTTTTTATAAAGAGACACAAAATATATGCTATTATAAAAAATCAAATAATATCAATTTCAACCAATCTATGAAAGTCAATATATGCATGTAGCAAAAAATATCTAACAACCATTAAAAATGATAATAAAGTAAAAATATTTAAAAACCATAGAAAAAAGCTTTTCATTGTTTGTGGGTTTTCAGTGCATTTAATCACAAATTATAGCACCATTCCTCGTTTTCCACCGTAGCAGCAACAGGTGGAGGTAAGGGGACGTAATACCCCATTGTTGGGAGCACCTTGCGGTTGCTGGTGAAGGAAGCCAACTCCGACGCCACCGTCTCGCCTAACAAACTGCGATAATTGATCCCTAGAGCCACGCTCGGGGTCCTGCTGCATGCGGTGGTTGTTGAGGAAAACTGTGAGCGACTCCAAATAGTCGTCGAAACCAAGAGAGGCCATTGCTGCCAGCACGTCCTCCGGTTTGACTGTTGTCCTGTAGTCGTGGCGGCAACGCCGGTTTGCCTCAGCGGTGATAAAGCTGATGAACTCGGAGACGCATTCCTGGATAGCTTCCTTGGCATCGTCGGCGATTTTGGCATGGGTGGGGAGGACGCGCCGCAAGATTCGGGTGATATTGGCTATCGGCTTGTACTCGTCTGCGTCTCTTTTGAAGCCCTGCTGCTCTTGGTTCACTTCTTAAGCAACGACATTCAGTGGGGCGCCCGCAATGTTGCCGGCATTGGTGGCGGTAGCAGCTGCACGGGCGGCACCCCCTTCCTGGAGGACTATACCTGAAATGATAATTGGTTATTAACATATTTTAATGTAAATCTTATCACTTTATCTTCTTTTTACACTATGATAGTAATCTCAATACACACAAATATATAATTGGCTACACGCTATATATAGTTCAAAGGCATATACACAGTTCATATGTGATTTTTTAAACAAAATATAAACATGCATGCGATGTAGGATTCATATATGCAATAGAATAAAGAAAAAACAATATTTTTCAGAAATATATAAGTAGAACAAACTAAAAACTCAAACTTGTTCAAGTACATGTATAAATTAATTTGACTAGCCAATTTTCTGCTATTTCTTGGTCTTGTTTTATGACCAATTTCTCACGTACAAAAAACCAAGTATATTGGTGTGACTTTATTCCTTTTTTTCCAATAGCTAACAAATTGTGTAAAATGCACGAGAAGTTCACTTTTATTGCACTAATTTCACACTCTTCATACTATGTAACATTTTTTACTCATATGTTTTATGTTGAAGTTTATTTAATAGGTATATAGATATGACGTGTATCGATAAATGATATATGCAACATAATACTTTAATTGAAGCAGTGATGCATCCTTAAAAAGATCAAGATTATATTGACTTAAATTTCCCTTTTTCATCGAATCCAATTTCATCCACATTAAGAACCCATTATAATTTGATCCATATGGTCACATTTTGTTTTGTAATAAAATAAAGACCAATCCTTAATTGTGATTTTTTTTTGATTCAATTAAGGAACTAATTACAACGTGTTGGATTTAAGTGAAAACATGGCAAATTGGGATCCAATTAGTACATGAACAAAATCAAAATAATTAATATTAATGTGTTTTTCTATGTTTGACCATTTTTTTTCTTCTAAAAAGTACCATAGAAATTAAAATTAAATAAGGCGTTGCTCATCAAGCATAAAAGAAATCAGAATAGAATGATATACGTAAGCGGCAAAAGATCGTTTTTTATCTAACTAACACAAAGATATCCATGAAGCATCAAAAATATTTGTGAACTTGAATCGCACCAAATTAGCTAATAGAAGATCGACTATCCTAAAACTAAATCTAGCGAACTAACAATTGATTTTTACATCTGCAAATGAGAGATGTGAAAATTAAATTGAAAAAAAAAAAAACAAATCTATGCACATTGTTCATATGGATTTAGTCTTAAAATCGAATTGTAGGAAAAATTGAGTGCAGTTGTACCAGATGTGCGTGCTCTTCTTGTATATTTATATTCTATGTTTGAGCTTCCTCCTTTCTCCATCTTCGAGTTTTACTTTTGATTCAAACTCTAATTTTTTTCACCCTTTGTCTTTTATTCACACAAACTCAATATATCTTACGCCTCTTACTCGTGTGTGTGATGAGTTCTGATGTGTCACAGGCATTCAATATATAGACAGGATCTGAGACCTTTGAAATGAGTCAACAAGGATAGTATTAGGGTGGTTAAAAGGTAAAGGCAAAATAGGCAAAAAATATTAATTGATTTTTCCAATAGAATGATGAGCTATTTAACTTTTCTTTGGTGAGTAGAAAATTATGTGGAATTGTTTGTTTAAATAGTAAGTAAATTGTTGTAGAGTACCATAAAAATTACTAGTGAATGTGATTGCGTTCATATACTTAAGAGGATAAAATATTTGATTTTTATAAGTATTATATTTTATTTATATAAATTAATATAAATAAATATAAAAAATGGCAATTTTTTTACAGAAAGTTATTGAAATTCTATCGAGCAAAATAAACTGGAATTAATCTCGATTCGGACGCTGTCATTTACTCGCTGCTCAAGTGCTAATATAGGAATCATTGAAATAATTATTACGTGGGTATATACAAGACTTAATTGCGAAAACTATTTAATCCGTTTTACAAGTGAATTGTTGAATTGATATACTTGATATGATTTTCAAATCTTATAAATTTGAAATAATTGCATTTATTTACTTGCAAGGTTGAAATAATTAATTTTTGTACTTAAATTCTAAAACTAAGTAAAATAATATAACATATTGATTTTTTATAATTTAGAACATATTATACGGGATGGAGTTAATAATTAATACTATCTGATTATTTTTCAAAATAAAAGAAGTACAAGATTATTTTTTTTTTATTTTCTAATCATCATTATTATACACGTGAATTGCTATAAACTTACATCTCTAAGTATTTATTTTTTGATTTACCATATTATATAGTTTGAGAACATGCTAATAATTTCTAACAATGTTTTAGGGGGTAATTGTAATTACTGATACAACAGGGATCTTGAAGTTATTTTAACATACCTCAGGGGTGTGGGTGTAATTTACCCTCAAATTAAACATAGTAAGTGTAACACATACAGTACTGTGATCAAAGGTTGTGCTACAATTATGATTAAGAATCGGTTTTGTTTCTTGAAAAATGGATCACATTACTTCAAAATATGAGTGTAACAAAGTTTAATTGAATTGATACAGATAGGTTCATCCGCCATCTATAGTCTTTGAAGCTGAATCTCTCAAAGATTTGTGTGTGAGAATATTCATTTTGACTATTGAAGATCACAAGATACTCTCTAAGCATATAAAAGAACTTTATCTGGAAAAACTCTACATTCATGAAGAGATGTTTGACAAAATAATCTTAATTTGCCTCGAAAGATGTCAAATGTTATCAAGTACTATTGAGGTGAGTAATCTCCATAATATCTAGCAATTCTATTTTCAAGAGAATTCTCTAGGAAGACATCATCCTATTATTGAAATTAATCCCTCATCTCTCGAGACTGTCAGTATTTCAAGTGGAGATTTGTTTGGTTTCACAAAGCGGACTTTTCTAAGCTTAATTGTTTATTTATGTGCAAAGTGAATTATTCATTTGAACACTTCTCGATACATAAATTGGTTTCACAAAGTATAATTTTGGCATGAGAGATGTTTTAAATATAGCCCATTCGTACATATATGTTTAAAAAGTTTTGAAGTGTAGTTTCAAACATAAAAAAAATGGTTTGTAAAAAAGAAAGCTAGAGGTAGAAGTTATGCTCAATTTTCTAGATTCATCCAACCGCGTTCGAGAAAATTGACATCTATGTGTCTTCTGAAGCCAAAAGAGTCGTAATCACCGACCTAAAGTTTGCATTTATATGTTTTTTACTTGTTTAAGTAGTATATTTTACAATTTTTAATCTTTTTGTTAGATTATAAGGTGGGAAAAATAGACTTTTGCTCCCTCCAGTTTACCTCGGTTTCACATTTGGTCCCCGTTCACAAAAAAATATACACTATTAGAAAATCAAAATTTAGCAACAGACAAATTCATTGCAAAATGACACAAATCCGTTGCTAATCAATATTTAGCGACGAATAATGACCGTAGCTATTTCCATAAATAAAACTCGCGTTGCTAAATTTCAGGTACGACTAATGATAATCCATATCTATAGCTTAGCAGAACAATCCATGACTACTATCGTTGCTAAGCAATAGAACAATCCCTCGAGCAATTCGTTGCTATTTTAGCAACTGAAAAATTCATGGCTATACATTTCGCTAAATTTGAAATTTGTTGCCAAATTCCTCACTATATGTAGAAAGGCGAACATTCAATTTTTTTTAAATATATATTTATATAACATGTAGTGACATGATATATATTAAGATAATATTAATTGGTTATGGATTATAATGGGCATCTTACATATCTATCTCGTTTACAAAATGAAAGTAGTCTCAATGTTCACTGATATATAATTGGCTCAACTTCGTATATAGTCCAAATGCATACACACATTTAAAATATAATGTCTTAAAATAAAATATACACATGCATGCGATAAAATATAATGTTCACTGATTGATATATGCAAATTGCAATGCTAAAGAAAAATCAATATTTAAAAAAAAGATATATAAGTGGAACGAACTAAAAATTCGAACTTCTATTATCTTCATCTTGCTAAGAATATCGCTTTTGTACTCACTTACTCTTATTCCTGGGTCAAATCCTGGAATACCTATGGTGGACCTTTAGTGGTTTGAGAATACTTTCGCTATTGCTATATATACTACCTTCAGAGTCTGGTCTAACTGAGTCTACTTGCCACACCAGAATCTCTTTGTCAGAACTGCATAATGTCGCAGGAATTTGTGGGAGGGGGTAGTCTGAGATAGCCTGGCTTCCAATCCGTCTGGTGCACTCTGCAACACAGTGGCTCATTGGGGCCTCCTGTGATCATCGTATGTGCTTTATCTTTCTGTTGTTGTGTGTGTGCAGCTGGTGTGGTGCTGTCCGTGTGCAGCTTATGTGCTTTATTTCTGCTGCTGTCTGTGTGCACCTTATGTGCCTTATTTTCCTGTTGTTGTCTGTGTGGAGCTTGTGTGTATTTGTTTGATCTTGAGTGACCTTGCCTGCTTTGCGAATATGAATTCTTATCCAGTAGCTTCATTTGACGGTAAGGGTGATTTTGCTATTTAGAAAATGAAAATGAAAGGTGTTTTGGTTTAACAGAAATACTTTAAAGCCATAACTCAAACTTATGATGATAGAACCACAAAGGATGAGAAAGATGATCTTGTGAACTTGCTTATTCCCTGATTATTCTAAACTTATCTGATTCTGTGATTAGAAAGATTGGTAAGCTTGAAACTGGTAAGGAATTATGGGATAAGTTAGAACAACTCTATATTGAAACCTCCTTATCCTAAAAAATGTTTTTGCTGAAAAAGTTTTTGAGATTCAAACTAGATTTTCACCAAGATATAGATGAAAATCTTGATGTTTTTACAAAACTTGTGCAAGATATAAAGTAAAGGGGATAAAAATATTGATGAATATACCCCCATTGTTCTTTTAAATGCTATTCCAGATTCATACAGTGATGTAAAATTTGCTATGAAGTATGGCAGAGAAAAAATAACTTTGGATACTGTTATAAATGGTTTGAAAAACAAGGAACGTGATTTAAAAACCTATACGAGTAACAAGTCATTGGGTGAAGTTAAGTTTGTCAAAAATAATCATAAAAACAAGTTTTCAAACAAGGCTTCTTCTTCTGGTAATCAAAATTTTTAAAAACATAATAAGGGAAAAGGAGGGAGTAAGATTAAGCTCAAACATAAGAAATGTTACAATTGTGGTAAAGCTAGTCATTATGCTAATAGGTATTTCGAACCTAAAGAGGAGAATAAGGTTAATAATGAACAGGCTAACGAAGTTGTTGAAAACATGGGTGATGTGTTTAAGATAAAAGGGCTTCTATCTTAAATTGTTTTTTTGAAAGAAAAGGTTGTGGTATTTCCGGATAGTCAATCATGGATTTAGTTGTGCAAGAATCATGTCTTTCATCACAGAACAAAACACATTGATATTAATTTCACTTTATCAGCGATGGTGTAGAAAAGGCTGTTATAGAACTTGAGAAAATTCCTTCAGGATTCAATCCTACAGACATGGGTACTAAGTGCTTACCTGTGGAGAAATTTAAATCGTGTTTGAGAATTCTGAACATAATCTCAAAACGTGATTAAAATAGAAATTGTGATTTCTACTTGTTGTGTGCAAGTTCTTTTTAGCTTTCTGTGTGATAGTTCTGTGATTACATCCTATGTGGAAAAAAAATTTGGAATCTTATACTAAAATATATGTGATTAGTGTTTAAGATTCAAAATTACGTCAATGATGATCCCAGTCCATTAAGTGTGTTCATGAAAATCCATTTTTGGTCTCGGGTGGAGAATTTGTTAAGAATTGAGCCCATAAAATGATCTTGGTGATATGGGCCAGTCTTCTAATTATGGAAGCCCAACTCAAGGAAATTGGGCCCAAAGCAACTTAAGCGAACTACCCGATCTTGATCGTCCATTTTGTGTAACTGGTCCTGGAAGTCCATTACCGTTTTTCTTATTCCCTCTCAAACGCTAGCAGGTCATTTCATTTGTGTCATTTTTTCTTCTTCTTATCCCATTCTCTCTCTACAGTACTTCGTCATCCATTGTCGTTTTCCGGCGACACCGTCGCAGGTCTTGCCAAACAATGGGTGTCCTTGCCGCCGCATTACATTTAATGCTGCTGACAGTTGAAACTACGTGTATAAATACTGTGGTGAGAGAGAATGACAAGATAGACTTTACCTTTAATTCAAATCGAGTATTTTCACCTCCAATACTCTTATGTGAGTAATTTTAGATCTCTGAGTGAGGAAATCTAGGATTTGTGCTGAGCGGAGAGGGTGAGTTGTGACTGAGTTGACTGTGCATGTGTTGGTGAGTAAACTCAATGTTAGTTTTGGGTAGATCCTGGGTTTTTGGTCAGTGGTTGTTGCTTGGTGTGTGTTTCCGTTTTGAAGTTGCCACCAAAACGTGGATCTTCTCGATTGACCACTAAAAACGAGAACTGAGCCGTTTGATACTACATGCAGCTCTTTGCTTGAGCTAATTTGCAGTCTATTTATTTCCCTCTTTCTGTTACTACAGATCTATGGCTGGCATATTGGAACCTGCACCTAACATGGCCCAAAAAACAACCGTTAAAGATATCACCATTGGACATATTTGATATCACATAGGCATTGTAGTTTCTAAATTACATAAATAACTGTTAAGTGTATATTTTTACAATTAATTATATCTTTTAATTAGAGATGTTGGTGTATTTTATTGATAATTGATGCTTAAAGTGTTGATTTATTGTGTTTCAGATACAAATTTAAGAATTGAATAAATATAGGGTCAAAACCGCAATTTAGAAGAAAAGGTGGGCGAAAAGTGAAGAATTCAAAAGTCTAAAGAACATAGTTTCTAGATTTCAGACCCTCGTCTGGAATTATAGCTAAAAATCCAAACGGTCGTCTGAATATTCTCCTTGGAAGAACATAGTTTATGGATTTTAGACCCACATCTGGAATTTGAACTGAAAATCCAGACGCGGGTCTGAGAAGGCGTAGAGGTGCAGTAAGGGACTTCTAATTGCACAAGGAAACTGTCTTTTTCTCCAACTTTCCGACCCTATAAAAGACCAATTCAAGCACACAATGGAGGATCCTTTCTTTTTACGCAATTTCAAGAGCAAAGAAGCAATAACGAAGAATTCGAGGACTCCAATCATAGTTTTATCTTCCATGAATTATTTTAATTTCGTTTTTATTTTAATCATGAGTAGCTAACTCTTTTAATTCTAGGATTTTATTTTGAACCCTATGTTGGATTTATGAACCCCTTTCCATGATTTTATGCAAGTTTTAACTCCGGATTATTTCTTCTACTTGTTTTATTAAGTGCATGAAACTGGCCACTTTATGTGCTTTTCTGTTATTGTTAATCGCATGAATCGAAAGATCGGGTTAGTAATTAGAACTTGGGTATAAGAGCCTTTGTATCATTAACATAAGAATATAGTTAATCTCTTAGGTAGCCATTTTTGAGATTTGTGCTTCATGTTGTGTTCTAGAATTAATTGCGTAGGAATACAATAATTGAATCTAGAGTATTAGAATCGTAATACACGCAGAAGCGGGTTATGGCTAATTTAACATCTGAGGTTAGTAGTCCGATTCAATAACTTGCATAACTGAAGGAATTGGGGAATTAATAATCACATAGGGGGAATAATAAAATCCTAGGCTTGTTTACCTTGATAAATCTTCGTGTTTAATTGCTTTCATGCATTTTACAGTTTAAATTGCTTTAATTGTTTTAGTTTAATTTAGTTTAATTCCTCAACTTTCGACTGTGTAGGGTGGGCTTGATAATAATTAGTGGAATTTAGCGTCTAAAATTAGAAAATTAAGTATTCTCTATGTTATCAATATTCAAACTTAAAAGTCCACTATATCACTTGTTCGATACGTACACTTGCGTGTAGGTATTTCCAACAACCAATAATACCAAGCATTCATGAAAAAAAAAAAAAAGAATTTTAAAAACATTTAAATCTTCAAATCTCAGAATAATATTATTGATTCATTTTCTGCCTACTTATTTCACAAATGAGTTTTATTGACATATTATAAATTTGGATTGCATGAGTTCTCATAATTAATTCATATATTGTTAATATTGAGAAATTATTAGCATGTTCTTATCTGTTCATTGGAATAATCAATATTTAAAACATCTAGTAAAATTTTATGTAATTATTATAAAATAAAGGAAAAATTAGTTGGAGGTCCCTCAAAAATATTTTTTACAGCTGGATGCGCGCAATTTACAATTTCGCTAAAAGTCTCTATGCGTTCCTCTCCCCCAATGGAATCGTTTTGGAAACCTATTAGTAACGGTGGCCCGGTGATTTCACCGCTTAGTGATATTAATAAGCAATAACCTAGTGAAATTAATAACTAGCAGGTTAGTTAAAATACAGTGAAAAAAAAACTAAAACAAGAATAAATGCTTCCCACAATATATACACAACGTAGACAGCTTAGTTACACAACTTAGACAGCTTAGTTACACAGCTTAGACAACTTATTTACATAGCTTAGTTACACAGCTTAGTTAAATAAGCTGAAGAAAAAAAAAATTAAATCTTTGGTGCTTACATCACCACTAATATTACCATCACCAAACAATTCTTCACATTTTTTTTTCGTTTTGGTTTCCATAATTATTAGGTTTCAACGGAGATGATCGAGTGTAACCAAAATTGTATGTACATGCGCATGTATGAGGTTGCGTATGTGTGTATGTAGGTGTGTGCGCCTGTGTGAGGCTAGAGCATCAACGGTGGCAACAGGGAGCGGATGTACAACAGATTTGATTGGTGGAACATATCCAACGGAGGCAACCGGGATGAAGACGTCTGAAGTATAAAGAACTTTTAGCAAATTTCAAAAGTGTGGTTGTCTAATTTGGAAGACGTACTATTAGCATTCAAGGGTTTTTAGAAAACTGCCCCTAAAATACTCAGGCAGATGGCATGTATACCAATGGATAATAAAAGATGGTCATAAAATAGAAACCACGAAAAAAAATTGTAATACCATTTCACTTTCAAGAATGAAGAAGAAGAGAAATTGGCTGCCTTAGATGACGATGGATTAATGGTGTAGGCTTTGGGTGCAATTATATCATTTCCTAAGCAAAAATGAAGAAAAATTGCACAAGCAGCCATGAAACACATGATCTGCTTCGAGCGGGAATTTTGCCTTGGACTAAAAAGTATAGGGGATTTTCGCAAGGGCTTTTTGGCACATAGACAAGACACAGAGGGGTAATTGTACA